ACAAAATAATTTGGGTATGATGCATTTAAATTTCTCAAGATCAAAGTTTACTGGGAAGCAAGAAGCCGGAAGAGACTTCCACAAGCGAGAGGTGCGTTAGAAGAAATCTTTAACATAGAACACACGGTTACATCTTGATATTTCATCTGTAAAATGATGAGACTTTGCCGTCAATCTAGTACTGTGCTTAAATTCATAGAGGAACGTTCATCAGAACAATTATCATGAATGTATTTATAGAAAAGTCATAGGGAAAATACATTACGCTGGTGGAATAGTGACTGAATCTGAGCTGCAATAACATTGCTGATTCTTCTTTGGATTTTGGCAAGAATCTCTAAATATATAGCAGGCGGACCACATAAGATGTGGCAGCAATATTCAAAGCAACAATGAATGCCAGGCATATACACTGGTGAAACTAAGTTTAAGTCTGATGGTTAAAGTTTTATTCATTTCAAAATATGTTTTCTAATAAAACAATATAAATTAGTTTTATTGTGTACGCGTTATGTAGAATTTATTTCTCTTTTGAATGATGTAAAAATTTGTATATTTTTCTACAAATTCAAAAATTTTAATGCTTGATTAATTTAAATTATCCAAATTTACCATTCCTCTCTAGTAGAGGTGTATTTTGTAGAACATGATCTACAATTTTTTTTTAATCTTAATAATGTTTAGTGTTTCAGATAGTTTGTAATAATCTAGTAATGTTGCAAACAACTTAAGTTGTTTGCAACATTACTAGATTATTTTCCTCTGTTTTCTTGTTTACATGTATATCTGTGGCTACAGAGAAAACTAAAAATACCATTTTTCTCAAGCCTACTATCAGGAAAGATCTCTTATAAAACCTGCAAATTATGACTTTCAGCAAGCAGAGATGCAACCATCTCCAAGTGGTTAAAACACAAGAGAAAAGTTGGTTACATAGCTTTTTCTTTCACTGCAGTATGTGCTAAAAGAAATGTTGGTGATTTCAAACAAATCATCTCCAACAGCAACAACAGCAGAGATGGTCAGTGAATCTTCACTGATGATCATGTGCTGGCGACTTTAAACGAATCATCTCCAACAACAAGAGGAGAGATGGTCAGTGAATTCTCCCTGATGATAGTCTTTTCTCAACCACATTTTCTGTGAGCCAACTATTTAAAGTCTTTTCTAAACTACAGATTTTTCTGTGGACTAAATACCCAAAAGATTTAACTCAACTAAAGACTATTTTACTCCTTTTTAATTCTTTTGAATTCATGTTCTTTACATATCTATAAGTCTACCATTCATTCATGGTGCCTAGACTCTTCAAATTTAAGCACAGTATGAGACTGGTGTCAGGATCTCATCAATTTACAAGATACAAGTGCTACTATTTAACCCATACTTGGGGGAATAGTTGGATTCATACCTTTCCAAAGGGTATTTGCGTGTAAGTGAATATTGACTGGAATTCAAAATCAGTTCTACAGTTTCTCATTACAGACTATTATCCATTAAATTACCCATACATCCATTCAACTAAAATCCACTGATCAAAACTATAAAAATGAAGATACCTGGTTAAAGAATTCTTTTTGTTTCATTTTATATATTGAGAGCTCTAGATTATAATTGGTTAATGAGCCTCACCAACCTAGATAAATTTTATTCATGATATTTTTTTAATTTTTGTGAGACAACTATTTAAAATCCTTTCTAAACTACAGATTTTTCTGTAGACTAAATACCCAAAAGATTTAACTCAACTAAAGACTATTTTACTCCTTTTTGATTCTTTTGAATTCATGTTCTTTCCATATCTATAAGTCTACCATTTATTCATTCTTAAAATATTTCTCATTTTCCTATCACATTAAGATTGTCTCTCTGTGTATTCTCTATAAATACTTTCAGGTAATTGCTTGAATGAGCTCTTCGCAATGGGGCCTAGACTTTTTGAATTCAAATTCACAGTATGAGACTGGTTTCAGGATCTCATGAATTTACTGTTAAGCTGGTTAGATTTAACAATAAATTCTATGATGACAATTTCTTTTCTTGCACTTCTTGGTTGTGGAACTCTCTTCTGGTGCCATGCTTTTTCCAGCCAATTATAATCTGCAAATATTTAAACGTAATGTTAATTTCTATCTACTTTTCTCCTGATTACTCTTTCCCCTTCCTTCTCGTTGTTAATGTTTCTGATCCTAATTCTTCCACACCCTGTAAATCCTTGTGTCTTAATGCCATTTCTGCATTGCATGGGGTGATACCAATTTAAAAAAAACAAAACAATTTACACATGTTTATAAATACAAATAATTTATTTAACAGGCATACCCAGGTTTTTTATTTTTATTTTATTATAGTTTAGAATTCAAATGTCCAGATTCTTAATATAAAAGTACCTGAACAACAGAATTGCCTACATTATAATGTATACTTATGATAGTTGAATGATTACTATTTGGGGCAAATAGAGAATAAATCTCTGGTCTTCAGGGTACCTTACTTATATTTATTTATTAATGATTATAAGCCTAGTCTTGCAAACTATTATCAATAAGTTTATCTGGCTTATAAATTCTCCAATTTGTATCAAGTCTATACTGATTTTTTAAGCATAGCTCAGACGTGGCACAAGACCTAAAGTATGGGGCATCAGTGAGGATCGAACTCACTCTTCTGTTTTAGCGAGACAAGCTTGTTAACCATTACAACACACCAAGGTGCCCTGTTTCAAGTCTATAATATATTGAGCAACTGTTGAAAAGAATTATTAATTACATTTATAATTTAAGAATATTTTTATCCAATAACTTTTACTAACACTAAATTTTTTAATCATAAAAATTGCCGGAAATTATAATGCCTATAAATAAGTAAATCCTTTACAGAGAGTATGTATGATAGCTCAGTGGTTAGGATGTAGGACTGTTGAAGAATTCTCACCTTGTATTTATTTTAAACTAATGCGAATCTTGAGTTTATATTTATCAAGTCTGTATTATATTCAGTAATTGTTGAACAGAATCAATCAATAATCTTATATTTTATTAACAATTTTTTGAGAATAATAATGATTTTTCCAGATACAAGTGCTACTATTTAACCCATACCTGGTGGAATAGATGGATTCATACCTTTCCAAAGGGTATTTGTGTGTAAGTGAATATTGACTGGAATTCAAAATCAGTTCTACAGTTTCTCATTACAGACTATTATTCACTAAATTACCTATACATCCATTCAACTAAAATCCACTGATCAAAACTATAAAAATGAAGACGTCTGGCTAAAGAATTTTTTTGTTTCATTTTATACATTGTGAACTCTAGATTTTAATTGGTTAACGAGCCTCACCAACTAAGATAAATTTTATTCATGATATTTTTAAAATCTGTGGTTATTTTCCGGAAGCACTGATTTCTCTCTGCATGTGGAATAAAATAGGAGCAAGCATCATCAACACAGCACGTAGAAGCAAAACAGATTTATTTCTCTGCTACTCTTTGCCCTAAACAAGAAAGCGAGTGCATGCTGAACAAATTTAATCGAGTGGATACATTGAATTGAAATTGTGATTTCTTAAACGTTGCTTTTACTACCGATTCAAACCAGCTTGCATGTCTGAGTTACGTCATTGCAGAAGCAAGAGTTGGTAGTGGGGGCAGTTGGAATAAATAATGGTAAGGATCTGAGATTAGAATTAGTCGAATAGAAAATGAAGAAACAAACAAACCAAGAAAGAAAATTTGCAAGGTAATTGGAAGGAAAATCTATGAAAGGAAGGATAAATGCATGTTTAAACAGTGGCCGAGGCAGTGTGATCAGATAAGAGTTGAGAATAAACAGAGCGGGGAGTCACTGGAGAGTGAGAGAAAGGAAAAGACGAATTGGAAGAGGAAGGTAAAGGATGTAAAATGGGAAAGAAGGAGAGGTTAAGTGTGAAGGGAAATAGTGGGAGGAGAAAGACATTAGAGAAGGGATGAGGATGATGAAGGAAGACAATGAGAAAAAGATAAAAGATGATGGTGAAGAGGAAAAAGAAGGTGTAAATGGATAAAGATAGGGAGTAGAAGAAAAAGAAAAGAGTTGAAAACAATGAGAGAAGTGGACGAGCAAAAGAAATAAATGAGGTGGGAGGAATAAAAAGAGATGAAAGTAATGGAGAAGAAGAGGATAAAAATGATGATAACGGAGGAGGAGTGAAAGAGTGAAAAGATGAGGGAAGATGGGGAGAAGAAGGAGGAAATGATTAGGATGGAGGAAGAGAGGAAGAGGGAAATGATGAGGGAAGAGGAGGAGAGGAAGAGGGAAATGATGAGGGAAGAGGAGGAGAGGAAGAGGGAAATGATGAGGACGGAAGAGGAGAGGAAGAGTGAAAAGATGAGAGAAGAGGAGGAGAGGAAGAAGGAAATGATGAGGGACGAGGAGGAGAGGAAGAGGGAAATGATGAGGGAAGAGGAGGAGAGGAAGAGGGAAATGATGAGGGAAGAGGAGGAGAGGAAGAGGGAAATGATGAGGGAAGAGGAAGAGAGGAAGAAGGAAATGATGAGGGAAGAGGAGGAGAGGAAGAAGGAAATGATTAGGATGGAGGAAGAGAGGAAGAAGGAAATGATGAGGGAAGAGGAGGAGAGGAAGAGGGAAATGATGAGGGAAGAGGAGGAGAGGAAGAGGGAAATAATGAGGGAAGGGAGGAGGGAAGAGGGAAATGATGAGGAAGAGGAAGAGAGGAAGAAGGAAATGATGAGGGAAGAGGAGGAGAGGAAGAAGGAAATGATTAGGGATGGAGGAAGAGAGGAAGAAGGAAATGATGAGGGAAGAGGAGGAGAGGAAGAGGGAAATGATGAGGGAAGAGGAGGAGAGGAAGAGGGAAATGATGAGGGAGGAGGAGGAGAGGAAGAGGGAAATGATGAGGGAAGAGGAGGAGAGGAAGAGGGAAATGATGAGGACGGAAGAGGAAGAGAGGAAGAAGGAAATGATGAGGGAAGAGGAGGAGAGGAAGAAGGAAATGATTAGGATGGAGGAAGAGAGGAAGAAGGAAATGATGAGGGAAGAGGAGGAGAGGAAGAAGGAAATGATGAGGGAAGAGGAGGAGAGGAAGAAAGAAAATGATTAGGACAGAAGAGAAGATGAAGACAGAAATGATGAGGGAAGAGGAAGATAGGATGAAGGAAATGATGAGGAAGGAAGAAGAGAAAAAGGTAGATAAAGAAGATCATGATGAATGAGAAGAAACTGAACGAGATGAAAGTAAGTGGGAAGAGGAAAATGAAAATTACGAGGGTGGTGGAAGAGAGGAAGAGGAAAAAGTTTGAGGGAGGGAGGAAGATGTGCAAAAGAAAGGAAAGATTACAAGGAAAGTGAAGAAATAGAAAGAGATTAAAATGAGGAGGGAAGAGGAAGAGAGGAAGAAGGAAATGATGAGAGAAGAGGAGGAAAGGATGAGGGAAATGATGAGGGAGGAGGAGAAGTAAAGATAGAAGATGAAGATTATGAGAAAAATAGAAATAGATTAGTGTGGAAGAAAAAGAGAATGAAATTGGCGAGGAACATGGACAATTAAAAAAAAGTGGTTGTGACGAAAATGGCGAGAAAATATAGGAAGAAACCAAAAATAGAAAGAGACAAATATCGTAAGAAATGAAACAAAGAAGAAAGAGAAAAGGAAGCATGAAAGTAAAGTCGTAAAAGAAAGAGTTGATCTAGTCAAAGAGAAAAAGACTAAAGTCAAAAAAACAAAAAAAAAAACTAATACTAAGAAAAAGTTACCAGTGAAAGACTTTTGAAAAATTTCAGTCTTTGAATAGATGAGAAATGTCAAGATTGGATAAAAAAAATAAAATAAATGACATTAAAAAACGGACATTGAAAAATCGAAAACAACAATTCTTGAGAACATGACCCATTCACCTACAGATATACCTGTACAGTTTTGTCTTTTATACGCACATGCAAACACACACACACACACACACACACACACACACACACACACACACACACACACACACACACACACACAAAAGAGAGGTGCAAAGAAATTCATTACTGTCTTTGATTTAGAGTTTATCCCAATTTTTACCTGTACATTTTTTATTCACCTGATTTAATTTTATCCAATTGTGTAAGTGTCTGCTCATCTTTTCGATGAAATTCTTTAATGTATGTTTGTGCATCTATCGATCAAATCATTTTTATACAAATTTATCCAGCATTCAACTGATCAACATTATAGGTTAGTCTCTTGAAAAATACTTTTGCTATACTTTACGTGGGACTGAAATTATTTTATATTCAAAAGAAGGCTCCATAGTTTTTTTTTTAATCAATTATTCACTGCTTTTTATTTTTGCTTTCTCCCCTATCTCTCTCTCTCTCTCTCTCTCTATCTATCTATCTCAGGCTATTCATATCTGTTAATTATATATATATATATATATATATATATATATATGTTTTATCTATCTATTTCAGTATATTCATATCTATATATCTATCTAGCTAGCCATCCAGCTAGCTAGCTATCTAGCCAAGTCTATTCGAATATATATTATCTATCTATCTATCTATCTATTTATATATATATATATATATATATATATATATATATATATATATTATCTATCTATTTCAGTATATTCATATCTATATATATATCTAGCTAGCTAGCTATCTAGCCAAGTCTATTTGTATATATGTATATTTATCTATTTCTGTATATTAATATCTATCTATCGATCTATCTTTCTATCTCTCTCTATATATATCCACCTATCTCAGTCTGTTCATATCTATCAATCTATCTAAGTCTATTAATATCTATCTCAGTCTATTCATATCTATCTATCTATCTATCTATCTATCTATCTATCTATCTATCAATATCATTCTCAATTTGTTCATATCTATCATTCTGATTCTGTTTGTCTGTCACTATCTTTATCTCTCTCATTCAAATTAGCCCAAAATATATCGACCTTAAAAAGAGAAAATGGCATAAAATCTTTATTTTGACAACCCACATAGTTTATTGTCCTCCATTTGACATCATTTCTATTTTTGGTAAGATGAGGTAAGTTATTTTCTGTCTCACTCTTATTCCATTTGATTTCTCTAACATTTTTCACCTCCATCAGCTCTCTCTCTCACTCTCTCTCTCTCTCATGCTCTCTCTCACTCTCTCTCTCTCTCATGCTCTCTCTCACTTTCTCACTCACTCTCTCTGACACTCTCTCTCTTACACTCTCTCACTCTCTCTCTCTCTCTCATGCTCTCTCTCTCTCACTTTCTCCTCCACTCTCTGACACTCTCTCTCTTACACTCTCTCACTCTCTCACACACACACTCTCTCTCTCTCACTCACTCCCTCCCTCTTTCTCTCTCTCTCCCCATCTCCAAACCACCCACCCATTGTTTCACTCATTTTTTTGTCTTCATTTTTTTTCTCACTTCCTCAACTTCTTCCTCTTCAAATGCTTTCTTCTTCTTTTTTTTTAACAATTTCTCCCACTTACCCATCGTTACTTTCTATTTGATATCCCCCGTAGTCACAATACAGGAAGATTGTATTGCACCATTCTTCCAGATGTGTGGGTCTGATACTTGAAAGTCAGTATTCATAATCCTATCTTTTTACTTGACCACAGTCATCAGTTAAAAGTCTGCAACCACCTCAGCCACAAGATCAAAATTCAAATTGTTTTTTTAGAAAGGGCAAAAGAGGCTGTGCAAACCGTAATTACCTAGAAAATCGACATTAGATATTCAAGTTTTTACAAGGGTTATGACACTGACATTCAGGGGAAATATGTAACGGTTTTGTAAATATTTACTATATATGGTGAGGGTAAATATTTACATATTATGTGCATGGAAAATATGTATATAGATAACCAATACAAGAGGAGAAAATAGATAGATAGATAGATAGATAGATAGATAGATAGATAGATACCAACAGACTGAAACATGTAGACAAATAAAAAGAAAGAGAGAGATGAACAGACTGAGAGAGCTAGATAGATAGATATGAACAGAATGAGACATGTAGACAAATAGAGAGAGATATGAACAGACTGAGATAGATAGATATCGAAAGACTGTGACATGTACACAAATAGAGAGGGAGAGATATGAACAGATGTAGATATAAACAGACTGATACATGTAGACAAATAGAGAGAGAGAGAGATGAACAAACTAAGATAGACAGATTGATAGATATGAACAGACTGAGACGTGTAGACAAATAGAGACTGAGATAGATAGATAGATAGATAGATAGATAGATAGATATGAACAGACTGAGGCATGAAGACAAACAGAGAGAGAAAGAGAGAGAGAGATATGAACAGACTTAGATTGATATGGACTGGCACATGTAGACAATTAGTGTGTGTGAGAGAGAGAGAGAGAGACAGAGAGGGAGAGAGACTGAGACATGTAGAAAAAGAGACAGAGATAAGAACAAACTGAGCTAGCGAGATAGATATGAACTGACATAGATGTGAACAGACTGAGGTAGATATTAACAGACTGATAGATAGACAGACTGAGATAGATAGATATGCATAGATAGATAGATAGATAGATAGATAGATAGATAGATAGATAGATAGATAGATAGAATATCAGCTAAAAATAATTAAGAAAGAAAATTTTAGATAGATTGATCAGAGCTTCTGGAAAAAAATTATGAAAACCTATATATATATATATATATATATATATATATATATATTTAAATGCAGGCATCACTGCTAGATTCAAACTTAAACAATCATCACGGCTGTATAGTTGCAAAAGTATGACCATACAGAAGTTAAAGGTGGGCTAATATAATGAGTCAAATATTGTTCCATCATGTCTCCTATATGTTCAATCTGTGATATTATTGCCAAGCAAAATTTTTAAAGTTAATGAACATCTTGTTGAGCATGTTAAGTTAAATGATTTGTGATATAGGCATTGTAAAGCCTGCCACTTGTTCTCTTCAACTGTAGCTATTCAGAACCTGGTCGGCAGGTTTAGGAATGCTCATTTGACTATTCGGCAATTGAAGTGCCACTGTTGCATCATGCTCAACATGTACAAGAATCCAAACTAAACAAAAAGTCCATTTGGCTATCTCCATGGTATTATACCTGCTTACAATGGACTCTTTCCTTTTACAGAAATTGATAGCAGCATGCACCAATGTCTAAAACATATTGGCATGAAGATTATCACATCACAAAATCTTTGAAATTTTATCACAACATTCATAACATCCTAGCATGCAGATGTTGCAGACAAGTTTCTAGTATATATATATATATATATATATATATATATATATATATGTACATGTAAATGTAAGAGGATGTCATCTTTGAAGGTGTACATCTTTGTTGTAATGTCCATATAACCACTCTGATGATGGCTCATATGAGCTGAAAGCTTAGATCGAGGAACAGCATAATAAAAAATATCCAAATTTTGGACAGTTTTTGTCTTTATTTTCTCCCAAAACTAAAGCCACTATATGAAGCTTAGAATGGCTAATGATCAAACATAATAGACATTCATTGTCTGTTATATTTAACAATCTCACCCCTTCACTGTCGAAACTCCTAAATGTAGCCGTCTCTTCTACTCTAATAGCTTCATGTCTCGCACCTCTCACCTGTGGAACTCCCTTCCCTATTCCTGTTTCCCTGTGAGCTATAATCTCCAGCTATTCAAGTGTAATGTCAATTAACATCTCCAGTTGTCTTGATCTATCCACTACCCTCATCCTTTCTTCTATCACTCCTATCTGATCTTGCTGTAAATTTTCTGTAGCCGCTTGCATCCTAGTGGCTTCCCACCTTGCTTGGGGTGAAATGCTTAAAAAAAAAAAAAAATGTGTGTGTGTGTGTGTAAATCAAATATGGATTGGAATCCAACAGAATGATAAAGTAAAGGAACAAATAGAAAACGTATATCAATCTAACATTTTTCACTTTTATTAAAGCTTTGCCAGAGATTGTGAGAAAACAGACAAAAGGCAGAAACACTGTTACTTTCAGTTATATTTGGATCAATCCTCTTTCGTCAGACATGTGTCATGTGTATTAAAACCATGGATAGTTTTGTGAAGATTTTGTATGTATAAGTGACCAATGAGTGATAATGTGTATTTGTAATTGTGCATGTTTGTCTGTCTAGTAAGGGATTATATTTCCCTTTGCATAACCAACCCTCACAATGGAGAGTTACAGGGTTTTGATTTTATGGCTCGCCTCTTTAGGAATATATTCTTTGTACTAGAGAGATATAAGTTAGATTTTTTAAGAATGGATTCAAAGAAAGATGGCGATGTAATGTAATAGTGTGTTTATAGTTGGTAATAATTGTTATTATTAAGTTTTCAAAGTATTTTCTCCTTAAAGTATTATATTCTTGTTTTAATTAGAGTGACATTAGTGAAATCAAAGTTAGGTCCAGCATCATTTTGATGCAAAACAAGGGAGATCAATTGTCCAAACTCAAGTCTCTCTGGTGTTCATAGATGCAGACTTTTAGATCACATGATGTCTCACCCATGTACACCTTTTTGCATTGTAAACAATTTATTTGATAAATCCCAGCATTTGAATTGGTGTTGGGTTTATTTTTCTTCCTAATTATATCTCTGATTGTCATGGAAGTGGTGGAAATGATCCTATTTTTTTTTTCACAATTTTAGGGGAGAGTGTTGGAGGGCAAGATTACAAATTTTGTGTAATTTTTTATTAGAAGTGTCATTGGTGGTGCCTGCATTTTTCGTTTTATGGATTTTGTAAGCTCGTTTTTTTGTGTTGAAGATAAAAAGATGTTGGTAGTGGAGAAGTTTAAAAGTTTTCTTAATATATCTCTCTTCATTTAGGTATTCTGTCCTTGTATATCCTAAGGGCTCTAAGGTAAAATCCTATGACTAGTCCAGATTTACTTTTTGGCTGTGGTAGGAATAGATATTGATTAGATCATTTTTGTTGGTTTACAATAAACCTTAAAATCTAATTTCTTACTGTTGCGTATTAATGCAATGTTGAGGAAAGGTAGAATTTAATTTCTCATTGTTGTGTATGAATAATATGTCAAGGAAAGGTATATGTGTGTGTGTGTGTGTGTGTGTGTGTGTGTACTGGACTCTCCTATCATTTTCAATGTAAGAGGGTACAGCAGCTCTTAAAACTGAACAGCCAGAAAAGCAACACATATGAGGCTGGCCTAAAAAGATCATAGACTGACTATAAATGAATAACGCTAGAGCTCTGAATTCTTGCATATATTAATTTCAACTCTTTTTACTAATGACTGCATTGTTATTTTCCAAGTAAACTAACATCTGGCTGTTCAAAGGAGACTTCAAATGTAACTTGTAGCAATTTCTCTTGGAAATGAACAAAATTACAAAAGTTACCAGATCTCAACTGTTTCCAGATCATAATTTGGGATGTGACATAAAGGAAGATTTGAATCCTGGGTATGCAGTCAATCAAACTAGAATTTCAGGATTCCTTAAAAGCAGCATAGGACCAAATTTCTAAGGAGTGCTTACAGAACATAGTCGAATCCATGTCAAGATATGATGCAATTCTAAAGGTAAAATCTTGTTAGGTATTTCAGTCTGTTTATCTCTCACTCTCACTTTTTTGCTCTAGCTCTCTCTCTCTCTCTCTCTCTCTCTCATTCTTTTTTTATCTGTCTCAGTCTGTTTATATCTGTTTATATCTATCTATATGTCTATCTAAATTTGTTCATATCTATACATCTATCTATATCTGATCATATCTATCAATGAGGATAGGCAGAAACGTACACAGGCTGACTAAAGTCTTGCGTGTGTTAGTTTAAACTCTTTGTATTAATAACTACATTGTTTCTTTCCAGGTAAACTGACATCTGACTGTTCAAAGAAGATTGTTCATTCTGTTCATCAAAAATGACATCAACAGGAGATATGACGTCATCATCACTGTGATGCTCGTTACCAGAAAAGTGTTGGGGTAACTAGTCCAAAGCCACAGCCAGTCATTGAAACCAAAGAATTGGTGAAACAAGACCCCTTTTGTTAGTTTTCTTGGGTATTTTGTCTTGATAGCCTTTCATAACTGGCTCAGAAAATTGGCATAGTACTCTCCATTGATGGTGTGGCCCTTTTGAAGATAGTCAATAATCACATTTTCATTTGCATCCCAAAAAACTGAGGCCATTACCTTCCCTGCAGATGCAACAACCTAGGAACACTCTGGAGCAGGTGAGAAAGGGTGTTTCTACTGCGTGGGTTGTCTCTTTGTCTCTCGTTCAAAGTGATGAACCCAACAGTTATCCTGGGTTAGTAAAGGTTCAAAGAAACCAGCTGGATCTACTTCACACAATGTTTTATGTGATGTGATCAGCCTTGTGTGCTTTTGAACAGATGTCAGTAAAATGTCGCACCCACTGAGCACATTAAGTGCTTTCATACAGTGGGCACATAGGTATATATATAT